TGTCCCATATACCTGTCATGTCCCAGAGACCTGTCATGTCCCAGAGACCTGTCATGTCCCAGAGTCCTGCCATGTCCCAGAGTCCTGCTATGTCCCAGAGTCTAGCCACACTCTGGTGTCCTGCCATTCAAAGACTGTTGATATAAGGCTACCTCTCCTGTCACACTAACTTGCCTCAAACTCATGATCATTCCTCGACACCTGTGCTGTCTCTTCTCCTGGGTTTCACAACTCTCCAGGATGACACTTCTCACTTTCTCATTTCCAAGAGGATCTTGTTGTTTTATAAACAAACAAATCAATTTGGGCTGCTGACTGTTTCGATGGGTTGGTGTTCCTCGGAGTTGTGTACTCGGTGAACAGACAAACCTTAATGTATTTTCTGATGAATCTGGGATTTTATCTTTGATTTTATTGAAATGCTTTAAATCTACACTCCTGATCTCTGACACACACATGGTCTGACTCTAACCTCTGAGCGGAAACTTTAGGTGAAAAAAAAGACACATTTCTGAGAACATAAAATGTTTGAACAGGAATCTGAAGCTGTCAGCTCTTATCCTGTTTACAAGCTGATATTTCCGTTTTATTTGTTTTCAGGTTCTGTTGCTCTGATCACAGTGCAGCAGCCGCCTGTGGTCTCCGTCGCTCTGGGTCACGATGCCGTCCTGCCCTGCGACTTGCAGGCCTCCCTGGATGAGAAAATAGAAGGAACCCCCATCCTGTACTGGTTAGACAAAGACAAAGACTATTTACTGAAACATGAGAAATACGCTGGACGTGTACATCGTTTGGACCAGAACCAAAACTCTGTAAACAAGTCCATCGTTTTAAAACAGGTCCAGTGGTCTGATAGTCAGGAGTACGAGTGCAAACTCTCCATCACCTCTCATGGAAAAAGTTTTAGGAGGAAAGGAAATCTCACAAAACTCATCATTTATGGTGAGTAATTGTTTCTGAAGTTGTTGGTTTTTTCCTTCTTCTTTCGGCTGCTCCTTCTTCAGGGATCGTCTCAGTGAACTAACTCGCATGAAGACTTGGCAACTGATTTTACGCCGGATGCCCTTCCTGACGCAACCACAGACCACCGAGCTACCACAGCCCTCTGTGTGGAGCAGAGAGCTGATATCTAGGGCACCTGGGGAAACAGTTGGTGCGGGTTGGGAGCCCTGCTCAGGGGTCCAGGGTGGGGCAAGGGTGGGTGGAGGCAGGTGTGGGTGTTTCACCTTTCCCACCCACATTTGATGTCTGTCCGGGGCGTTGAACCGGTAACCTTCCGATCACAGGCCCACCTTCTCTAACCTCTGTGTCACCACTCCCTCTTTGTAAGTAATACTGTAATAATATTGCTATATTGATATAATATATATAATATTGTTGAAATTAAACTATAAAACTTCTTGTTAAAACAAATGGAAATAATAATTTTAAAGCAGGAAAATAATATTTTCAGTCAAATTACAGTTAAAGCTGAATGTTTGCTGCAACTTCCTACAGAAGCTTAAACTGAAATATTAAAGATAAAAAATATCTAAAGGCTAAAAAAGTCAAAATTCCCCCAAAAATTATCACAATACTTTCTAAAATCTAAAATAATCAAAAGGCTAACTGGAAGCTAAATTAAGGTAAATAGCAAAAAAAAAAAAAAAAAAAACTCCAACAAATCCTGGATCAGGACTGTTCACCTCTGAGTTTATGTTTCTGTCGTTTCAGACGCCATGACCTTTAACCTCAGCAGCCACAACGACTCTAAGCTACGCTGCGAAGTCAACGTGACGCAGAAGTCTGGTTTTGTCTTGTCGGTAACCCAAGATGGATGCAACCTGCAAACCTCCAAGTCTGACGCAGACGATTTGGATCAGACCAAGACCAGACTTTCTCTGACAGTTCATCTAAAAAATACAGAAAAGGGAAACTACAGGTGTGAGCTGCGCCTGGGAAAGGATCTGATAATGGAGAACATCTTCCACATCAACCAAGCAGGTAACGGATGACGGCAGATTCACTTTCCGCTCAGACTAAGCTACAGGTCATTATAATAAGGCAGCAGGAAGAGTTTCTGTGTTTTAATCTTTATTATTTTAGATATTTGTAGAGTTATTGTGGAGTCTGGTCACACGACTGAAACAGGACTTTAAAGAGTTTTAATGATAATTTGATTCATGTGGACTCAGGTTTCTGTTTCACAGACTTTTAGTTCAAGACTTGAACATGATGTTGGTCCTAAAGGCTCAGTTCTGTCATGGTCTATTTGTCTGAAAAGTCTTTTCTGTCTCCACGAGGAAAACCTCCTCTTTCTCGAGCTCTACTTGTTGTGGCGTACCTCAAGGAACCATTTTGGGTCCTGTTTTGTTATCCTAATGCTGCTTTTGGGATTGATATGCAGCGTTATGCTGATGACATTCAAGTTTATTTCTCTTTTGAATTGGATGTCTCTGATGTCCCACTGCAGTCTGAATCCAGTCTGGTTTTTATAGTTCTAGATAGCTTTATTTATATATATATATATATATATATATATATATATATATATATATATATATATATATATATAATTTTTTTATTGTATTTTTTGATTAATAGTTTATCTTGTTGTTTATTTTTTTAATCAACTTGGGAAGCCCTTTAGTCAGCCTTGTTTTTAAATGAGTTGTTAAAAAAAAAACTAACATTGACTTTAAGAATAGTAATTATTGTTTGTTTAATCATCCAAAACCAAAGCTAAAGTTTGTCTCTTTTTAAAAAAATTTTTTAGTAAAACTGAATAACTGTTATGAAAAGCAGAGAAAAATATGATTCTTTATTTGTATATTTATACATTTTCTAATCTTTTCCTTAATTTTTTCTTTGACTGACTAAAAAAAATCCACCTTCAGTCAATAATTCGTGTTCATTTTATTTGTTTATGTTTTGATGTTTGTATTTTCAGCACAGTTGGGTCAGTACCCTGAGCCGTGGGTCCTGTACACATCTCTGGTCCTGGTCCAGACCCTGATCCTGCTGGTCCTACTGATTGTTAATCTGAATCAAAGCTAATTATTGAGCATTGAAAATGTACACTATTGTTGTTATTATGAACAATATTGTTCCGTGAAATTACAAAATATCAGATTTGTTTATTCTAAATGGAAACTAATAAAGTACACCAGCATTTGTGCTGCAAATATTTGAATGTAAACAGCACAATGAGAGAAAAGACATCACCTGCTCCTCAAACTGAAGCATTTCAACTTCGAAGGGTTTTAGACATTTCCATGATGTGTTTTCCTGTTTGTCCTCTGGGTGGAAGTGTTGTTCTGAAAACTGGAACAAACACAAAGTGCCATCTTTAAACCAATAAAACAGAGTAATTTTGATAATTTAATTATTTAATTCTCTGTCTGTGATCAAGCTACATCTGTTTTGATGTGAGTAAGTAAAGTTTGTAAAATAAATCGAGTGTTTTGATGCTCCACAGTCTTCATGATTTAACAAAACCACGAGGGGCCTTTCGTTTATGTTTTTGCAGTTTGAATAAAAAAAAAAAAGAGAACGTTATTTTTAAAAGCTGTAGTTCAGATTTAAAGTATTTTATTTCAGTATTGGCTTCATTTGTCAGACCAAAGAGTCACATTAACAAAATGTTTGTGGTTCTTTTTTGTTTTGTGTAACTGTTTTATATTGTTGATGCATTTTAGTACAGAAAGTTTCCTGTTTTATTGCCACAGTTTAGCAAATAAAATAACATTTAAAAACCCTGTAGATGAACAGACAGTTTTTAATTTAATAAACTGGATCAGTAAAACTGTAAATATTATCACAGCATGTTCCCTCTGAATTAGGAGGGAACACCTGTACAGGTAATTTAATAACATTCAGTGTAAAACAAACAGAACCATCCAGTCGGTCTGATGACAGAACGGGTCAATTATTCTGATCTATCTGCTGCCAGGACTTTAATGTTGGTTTTAAGATTGGATGAACCTAGATCACAGATTGTCAACAGATTTAATTTTAAATTAACGCCCATTTATTTAAAATCCTACAACTTTCTGATTATTTCTGTAGTATAGCAGAAAAACAGATTAATTTTCCTTTTGGAGCCTGGCTTTAAAGGTTTAAACCGTCACCTTTGAGCAGCAAACGTTTCATTTCAAAGTAAAGAATTAAATAAACGTTTCCAGCTTTAAGTCGTGGACCTGTTTGGTGTTTTTTGGTGACATTCTGTCCTTGAGTCTCCTCTGCTCCAACACATGGAGGTTCTGGAAGGAACGGAAGAAAAAAAAACACTGTTGCCATAACAACAGCTCCATTGCCTCCTCCTCCTCCATCCCTCTGCTGCAGTGCATCACCCTGCCTCCCCCTCCCCCTCCCCCCGCCCACAGACCGAGCAGCTCCGTGTTTGAAGTCGACACGGAGATACCATGGTTCTCCTCCGTCTGCCTCCTCTGGATAACAGGACGGTTGTGACTCCCACCATCTCGTCCTCCTGATGGACCGGGCCGGACCGGACCGATAGAAGCCGAACCCCTCTGACCCGCCAACAGATCTCAGACAGGTGAGCTGCGGCGCAGCCACGACTTAAGGCATCTTTTTCTGACCCGGTCTCTGGTCGTGTTGGAGGAGGACCACATCTGCTCCTCTGAAGCTGCACAGAGAGAGGACCGAGGTCCAGACCCAGCAGAGAGGGGGTGCAGTCCTGCAGCTCAGGCTGAACTCACACAGCAATAAGACCCAGGTGAGGCAATAAAAGCACAAAAACTGTATTTTCTTCCAAAGCCAAAGACACGAGGACACCTCAGAGCTTCCACAGGTCCTCGGAGCTTTGATTCAGAGTCTTCCTCAGACGTCTTCCTCTTTACCTCCTTCCTGAAGCAGAGCCTCAGAGACAGAGCAGTCCAACAAGCAGAACCTGGAACCAGGACAGATCCTTCCCTCTCACGTGAACACAGTCTCCAACAGGTGAAGCTGGTCTCTGAGCTTCCAGGTGCTTCATAGGACACCCACCCACCCCACCCCCGCCCCCCACCAGCAACTGGAAACAACAGGAGGGGAGGAAGAGGAGGGTGGACCACGCTCAGAGTCCCAGACCTCAGTCAGGCAGGACGTGTGTGTTTCAGACACTTCAGGATGTCTGCAGAACTCCAGCTGCTCCTGCTGCCTCTCACCCTCCTGGCACTTCAAGGTGAGTGGGCGGGGCGGGGTTGCCACGGTGATGCCACCTTGTTTGTTCCTGCAGGTGTTTCCTGATGTCTGATGGACCGCAACTGGGTCTGGTTCTTCATCAGTGAGCTGATAGGCTGTTGTGTTTGTTTGTATATTTGTTTGTTTAAAAACAACATGAGGCTGACGGCATATTTCTAAATCTTGAACGTATTAAATTTAGCAGGCTGAAGGTCGAGGTGAAGTTCTGTTCTTTGTTTTCCTTCCAAGCAGCTGGACTGAATCCATGAAGGGGATCAGTAGTTCTCTGAACCTCCTGGGTCCTTCAGAGTTCTTTCGTTGGGCTTGGGTTCAACGTTCAGAGGAACAACAGACAATGTGCTTTGACACGTTCTCCTTCCCCACTCGCCTTTAAATCAAAGCACGAAGAACCCAGGAGCTGTGCCAGGCCTAAACTCTTCCTTTGACCTGCTTTGTTCTGCGGTGGCACCAACACTTAAGCACACATATAAACACTTTCATAAAAAGACTTTTGTAAAAAGACTTTCATAAAGACACTTTCATAAAAAGACACTTTCGTAAAAAGACTTTTGTAAAAAGACTTTCATAAAAGCACTTTCATAGAGACACTTCCATAAAAACACTTTCATAAAAACACTTACATAAAAACGCTTTCATAAAAACACTTTCGTAAAAAGACTGTCGTAAAAAGACTGTCATAAAAGCAATATTCGTAAAGACAATTTCATAAAGACACTTTCATAAAGACTTTCATAAAAACACTTTCATAGACACTTTCATAAAAGCACTTTCATAAAGACACTTTCATAAAACATTTTCATAAAAAGACTCATAGACACTTTCATAAAAGGACTTTCATAAAGACACTTTCATAAAAAGACTTTCATAAAAACACCTTCATAAAAGCACTTTCATACAACATTTTCATAAATACACTTTCGTAAAAACACCCACATAAAGACACTTTCATAAAGACACTTTCATAAAAAGACTTATATAAAGACACTTTCATAAAAAGACTTCCATAAAGACACTTTCGTAAAGACACTTTCATAAAAGGACTTTCATAAAGACACTTTCATAAAAAGACTTTCGTAAAAACACCTTCATAAAAGCACTTTCATAAAGACACTTTCATACAACATTTTCATAAATACACTTTCGTAAAAACACCCACATAAAGACACTTTCATAAAGACACTTTCATAAAAAGACTTCCATAAAGACACTTTCATAAAGACACTTTCATAAAAAGACTTTCGTAAAAAGACTTTCGTAAAAAGACTTTCATAAAAACACTTTCGTAAAAAGACTCATAAAAAGACTGTCATAAAAATACTTTGATAAAAACAACATTTGTAAAGACAATTTCATAAAGACACTTTCATAAAGACACTTTCATAAAAACAACATTTGTAAAGACAATTTCACAAAGACACTTTCATAAAAACACTTTCATAAAAACACTTTCATAAAAACATTTTCATAAAGACACTTTCATAAAGACACTTTCATAAAAACACTTTCATAAAAACACTTTCATAAAAACATTTTCATAAAGACACTTTCATAAATCCACTTTCATAGACATTTTCATAAAAAACACTTTCATAAAACAACCTTCATAAAAAACACTTAGGTTCTGGATGAAAACCTTCATTCACTAAAAGGTTCCAGGACAGGTTTAGAATCAAAGTAAACTTGGTCAGATTTAAGTTTTTCATTTATAAATAATTGTTGGTTTGTTAGTGGCCTATAAGCCGAAGGTAATTAGTGAAAAAGTGAAGTGCAGCTTCAGCAGATGTTTCAGTCCTAACTTCAGACAGGTTCCTTCAGAGTTTCTATGTCTGGAACGATAAAAACACGAGATCCGAAAAAGAGGAGAACAAAGCGAAGCTCTTGTGTTTGCTGAAGTGACCCAAAGTTTTAAATTAACAAACATGTTCAAAACGCTTCAGTCAGCCAGAAAACTCAGTCACCGAATTTTAAATGATTTCATTTTTAAAACAAACGTTTAAATTCATTTAGTTTGAATCACCCGTTATTAGCTGAAAATTATCCCACAAAAACTAGAAAAATTACTTCTCTGTGGAAAAACCGATGACTGCTGAAATCAGCCGAAGAAGCTTTAACCGAGTAATTAAAGCAAAAAGAAGCAGAACACCAGCTAAAGGCTAAAATAGGTAAAACACTTGCTCTGAAGCTGAAAAGAAAAACACTAAACGTTAAGATTGTTAGCTGAAAGTATCAAAAAGCCAAAGTAGTGTAGAACTAGCTAAAAGCAAAACAAAGCAAAGGGCTATAGGCAGCAGAATGGTAGCTAAGAATAGATAAAGACAAAAACAGAGCCAGCAGCTGAAGTTGTTTCAAAGAGACGAAGCTTTTGAAGGAGCTGAAGAGGTTCGTTCGTCTATGATGAAAATATTCGTCCGTAAAGTTTAATCTTTTATTATTTTATTATTATTTAAGTATGAAAGTTCCATTACCCAAGAACCAGCTTTGGTAAACCCGGGTCAGAGCGCCTTCGGCCCCTGCCCATGGTGTCATGCACCCAACTCATGTAGCCCCTCCTGCAGGTACAGTGGGTCCACAAATCCATGTTGCTCCTTCGGGCTGAGCCCGACCGGGCCCCATGGGTAGAGACGCAGTCACCAGGCACTCACTGAGGAGCCCCTCCCCCAGGCCTGGCTCCAGGGTGTGGCCCCGGTGATCCACGTCTGAGCAAGGGACACTGAGCTCCTTGATTTTTCCACGAGTCTTTGGAGAGGAGCCAGTTCAGGTAGTTCAGGCATCTGGTAAGGATGCTCCCTGGCGCCTCCCTGAGGAGGTGCTTTGGGCATGTCCAACTGGAGGAGACACTGGGGAAGACCCAGGACACGCTGGAGAGAATATGTCTCCAGCCAAGTGATGCCTTGGAGTCCCCCCAGAAGAGCTGGAAGAGGTGGCTATGGGGAGATGTCTAAACCTCCTTGCTCAAGCTGCTGCCCCTGAGATCCTAGTCCAGAACCAGATGAACGGATGGACGGATGATGGATGGATAGATGAAGGATGAATGATCCATCCATCCATTCTTCATTGAACCACCTCAACTGGCTCCTCTCGATGTGGAGGGTAGGAACGTAGACCAACTGGTAAACAGAGAGATTTGCCTTACAGCTCAGCTCCCTCTTCACCACAACGGACCAGCACAGTCCACAGTACTGGAGATGCTGCACCAACCTGTCTGTCAATCTCACGCTCCATTCTTCCCTCACTCGAGAACAAAACCCTGAGATACTTGAACTCCTCCACTTGAGGCAGAACCTCACCCTCAACCTGAAGAGAACAATCCACCCTTTTCTGTCTGAGGACCATGGCCTCAGACTTGGAGGTGCTGGTTCTCAGCCCAGACCAGTTTTTAAATATGAACAGAACAAAGTCTGAAGGAGTTTAGAGCCTACAGGAAGGAATAAGGCGAACGCTGACTCAGCGTTTCCTGAACGTTGACTCAGCGTTTCGACATCAAGAACAAAGCTGCAGACTCAGATCAGACAACCACTCATGGATGCATGAAATATTAAATCTGACAACAGAAGAACCCACAGACCCGGACAGAACCAGAACCTCGGTTCTGGGTTCTTTAGAAGCGTCTGACATCAGCTGGACTGGATCCAAGTGGACCGGAAAAAAAACCCAGAACCTTTGAGCCAGGTGATGTGTGATCTGAACCGCACTGCTCTGCAGCCAGAGCCTACAGAACCGGTTGGGTTTCTGATCCTCCTCACTGCAAAAGACGGAGGTCCAACAGAACCGAAATGGGTCATTAGTTGATGCTAACAAGCAAAGGTTCAGCTTGTTCCACTTTGTCCTGATGTTTAAAGTGGTTCTGATGAAAAGGAGATGGATGATGAAGACATGTTTTGGTCTTCAGGTGTCCGACAGTACAGGTAGTCCTTATCATATTCTGGGTTTGGACCGGGCCTTTTGGACTCATTGCCTTCTTTGTGTATTTTTCCTCATTTGATTGTTAAAAGTTACTCCAAAAGGTTCTTTATTCATTTGGATCAGCATTTGGAGCTGATCCACTGACCCAGAACCATCACAGAACCCTGATCCAAGCCCGGAACCATGACAGAACCTCCCGAATCATCACATAACTAGACTTTTGAATCTATTGCTTACAAGACTGGATGCTCTTTTCCTTTTTTTTGGTCCATTTCTTTCAACAAGGTTCTGTAACTCTGATCTGTCTGAGCCGGGTCTCCACTGTGTGATGATCTGACCCAGATGGACCTCTGAGAAGTCTGGACCGGGTCAATACCAGTGACCTCTATGAATGTAACTCTGGATTTAAGAACCTGAACCTGAACCTCTGATGACGGAACCACTGATGATGGAACAACAGATGACAGAACCTCTGATGATAGAACCACTGATGACAGAACCTCTGA